TCGAGTCCCGTTCGAGACTGGAGTTTTGCCCACAAATCGCCAACCTTGTGAGACTTTCGCTTCGCGCACTGCGGCGTTAAAACAGCAGTTAACAAAACTAAAGTCAGAACAAGTACTAACATGTAAAGCTTTCAGCTTAACGGTTCAGTGCTGATTTCGGCCGACCGGCTCAACACGTGGTACGTGTGAGTGCTGATAAGCTATGGCATATAAGCTATTAAAAAGGCGAGGGCAAGCGGGGTCTCGGTAGTGTAAGGGATAAGAGCACGGTCCCCGGAAAGGACAAGTACGGGTTCGAGTCCCGTTCGAGACTGGAGTTTTGCCCACAAATCGCCAACCTTGTGAGACTTTCGCTTCGCGCACTGCGGCGTTAAAACAGCAGCTAACAAAACATCAAGTTTGAAAGGCGATGGACCTTTGAAAACAGAAAGTGTATACATTTACCGAAGAAAGATTGACCCTTTCTCATATGAAACGGGAAAACTGTTTTCCCTTGTGAGAAAAAAAGCTTCTTCGTGTTACACTGGCCCATTATGTAAAGAGAGGTAAGAGGAATTAGGGCTTGCTGACAGGAAAGCTCAAAAACGAAACAAATTCGATTCGGAACTACAGGCGAGTAGACGAAAGGAGACTTCAGGTGGAAGGGTTAATCGTCTCACAGGGTCCTCAAATTGATCTGATTCCTCAGTGAAAAGGAATGCTGGAAACCTCTTCCATATGAGTATGACTTCTTTCTTCTCTTCTAGTGACACGAGAAGCTAATAAATGTGCCTATGAATGTATTCACCTCTGGTTCACTCGATAAAAGAGCCTGTTCCTGGGCAAAATAATCGGGATCATAACTGTGAAGATGAAAAACATTATCCAGTTTTGTGGTGAGCCCCAGGCACCTGCCCCCATTTGAATTTGTATAAGGATCTCCCGATAAAGCCAACAAGCATCTTTAATGAAAGTCAGCTATGGTGCCTCTTGCCTTCGTGTTAAATTTCCGCTCAGTTTATCAGGCACTCACCAGTGAATCTAGATAGGCGAATAACGGAAAGTAGATAGCCGAAAAGGTTACATCACGTGCAAGTGTAGAGTTCAGGCCCCTGAAATGGACACTTTTTTGTAAGAGTTCGAGCTTGACATCAATCTTATGCTAGACAGCAACACTACGACAGGGGGATCTGGAAATTCGTACCTTCCATCTGTATCAGGCTTATAAGTAATCTAATGAAGTTTCACAAGGAATCAGGCTAGCTTATTACGATAAATCATTCGAAGCCGTTTTCAGTGAGCCCACTTAGTAGCCACTACAGCTAAAAGGGTACGGGAATGTGCTTTGATTCCCTCGGTACTTGGCCTGCAGGCTGTGAGTTCGTGAAGGCTCCATGACGGGAATGATCAGACAGCTCGACTTTGCCATTGAAGCAAATTTTCGTGCATTTCTTGACACCACCAAGCTTTCTACTAGATTTATTGTTGATTATAATAATACTTTGTTCAACTATCAATTACTTGTTGTTAACCCCCCCCNCCCCCCCCCCCCCCACACCGCAAATCATCTTCTCACATAATTGTCAAAATTGTAAACGGGCGCATCTTTGTGGCTCTGTCGCTGAATATGAGCACTCTATTTCAATATTTTCGCTTCTGACTTCGAACTTCATTCATTTCATTGTATATTTGGGAGAAGTCACAAACTCACTTATACAGACCAGCGAAGCCGTGTTGCCGAACAAGATTCCTCGCCAAAGTGAATGCCGTAAGCTTTTTGTCACCTTTCGCTGAAATCACCAAACCTTGAACACACTTTTCCAACAGCAGCTGATATCCTTATATAGCCAGGATAAGGATCATGGGAATCACTGCTTCCCGTAGGTAGTGGAGGATGAGTCGTAAATCATCTGACCCGTTAACGCACTACGCGTTTCTCTGAAGTCGTCCAAGTGGCGCAAGGAATGAACCCAGGAAGAGGGGTTTTCTTTCTTTCTCGGATGGTCCCTATGAGTCATCGCGGTCATTTTCTGGTGTTTTCTAGATCAAGTACCCACTCATACTCAGTATGTCAAATGTGTTTGAGGTTTCAAGAAGGGTTACATAAAGGCCAAGCTCCAGACCGTTCGTTCACTGGTGCCGTGGAGACTAGCGATAGCGAGCTTTTCTACCAATTGACCGTGCAATCGCGGATTTGCCTCATATTGATTTACTCTAACCTGCAGTTCGTCCCTGATCTTGTAATTGAATTTTCAACAGTTCCATCGGAGTGGTGATGGTCATTTGAAATACGGCAGTAAGACCGCCGGCAATCATTCCTCGGAACACACTCAATTGCCTGAAACTTATCTTCATGATCATGAAAAGAAGAGTGTTTAAAGTTGTTGACGTGGTTCATTCCATTTTTAGACCTGACTTCCCATCATTTGCATTCATTATCGTAGTGTAATGGAATAAATTGCTGGTCATTCTACACATACAACCATGACTCTTCCTTTTTCAAGTGGTGTCTGGGATTAAAAGAGCAATGATGCGCTGGATGGTTCGGATAGGCCGCTCTTAGAAGTTTGACGAAGTCTTCCTAATCAAGCGGTGTAATAAGACGTGCAGTAAACAAATTGTAGCTTTTGGTAGATATAGCCATCCATTCGCATACCATTGCGCAGGTTGTCGCCGCTCGTACTCTCTCTCGCCCAACCCTTCCCTCCCCTGCTTCATCCAATGGACTTCGCCAATCGCCAACCATGTCCAAGAGCATTAGCGCGAGAAGCAGCGGTCCTTCTTCGTATAATTTGGGAGTGGAAGAGAATATTTTGGCGTCAACCATTCTCGTTTTAGGATCCATCTCCGCATTCAACTTCTCTAAAGAGACAAGTGATTTGAATATGTATGTGGCCTATACAACGACTTGCAGCAGCCACCCATTCACAACTCAGCGCTTCCCTCCAAAACGAAGTTGGTACTAATCAAACTCGTAAGCATGAGACGCTCGGTTGGCCTGTTCTGAAACCGATCGAGTAGTCAGATCATGAGTGTGCGTTAGTGCCCCACGTGCTACTACACCACTTTCAATAGTTTCCGAATGCTGATTTCACCGTTGCTTTGCTGATACTACGGTGAGGAAACCCACTTTTGTCCTGGAACGGCAAGATGATATCGGAAGAAATCATTAGCGCAGAGTTTGATAGCCTTCTCAGGTGTTATCAGTAGGATATTCACAGCAGAGCCTGAGTATATTGCACGAACCTGAAAAGTGCATCTTCTAACTTTGGCCATTCCCCAATGAATTAATACATCCCCAAGATAGTAAAGGCCTGTTTCAGCGTCTTTTTCGAGTCTCATATCGACTATCACTTATTGGTCAGTACGATGTAATTGCGCTAAGCTTGCAGTACAACCTTTGAAAACACCGATCTGCCTCCAGAATTCCAAGTTTTTCGTGCGCAATCGACACTGAAATAGCAACAGCATTGTTAGCTGGAAGAAAGATGCTTCTATGGATTCAGGTGCTTCTTAGGACTTGATGCTCTGATGCTTATGAACTATGGACTAACGTAGTTTTTTCAGTATGTATGACGTGTGCCTTCTTGAGATGAAGGAAAGCTCAGAAGGAAACTACTACTAAATACCATTTCACCATGGGAAGGCATACGGTACACTTAAAGCACTGTTTTTCGGTATGTTATCAGATGAGCCGCTTTTGGTCAGTGCACAGGCCGTGCTGGCGAGGCTACATGATTCCTTACCATGACACCCCCCCCCCCCCCCTTCCGCCCCCTTCCCATGTCGATAGTTTAATAACAAAGGGGACCAGCTGCTTGAACTGAAAAGAAAGCTTCTAAAGTCATGATGCTCACATTCCATCGTACTGTAGTTTACCATCCGGTCCAATACGCTGATTCTGCAGTCGTGTTTTCGCCAGATCTATTGGAAACACGCAGGTGACTCCGACGATGCCAGCAAGTCCTCCGTTAAGTATTCTAGGCACCCCGCTGAAATTTGTAATTTGTAAGATTTGTGGAAAACCAAAATGGCAGACAAGCAGGATTTACTAGTTCTAAAAATGTGCACTCGTTTGACTCTAAGATCGCAAGAGTGTTCGCATGCACAGCTTCTACAATAAAGAGTGGAGTCAAAGTGCGCCTTTGTTGTACTGTTGAACAGTCTTCCGGGACCCGTACCGGATTCCCATCCTGGAAAGCGGCTGACGGAGGCAAGTCGGAAGCTCGTGATCTTTTCGTTTTTCAGCAAATTTCAAAAAAAGTAATTACAAAGATTTGCTTCCTCTCCAACTACAAATACCTTCAAAGTGCTCGCCCGGCGAACCGTGAATGTAAGAAATCCATTCCAAACATTTATGATCAGAAAAATCACTGGTTTGAAAAAAGGAATGGAGGGTCAAAGGTGCATTTGGACTCTAAAAAAGGGAAGTATAGCATAAACAGGGCAATAGGAATAATTATATTCTAAGGTTTATATTTGGCACTTTGGGAAGAGAAGTGGGAGGATGATGTGGCGGATGCATGGATGAACTAAAACGAAGATTCAGTCCGGCACTCGGCTCTTACAGTAACCCCCTGGCTTAACCCAACACCCAGCCCCGTGTCCTTGCCCAAAGCCGCTTTTCGACACGTCGGCTAATCACCTTTGACCTCCCATTACATTAATGTTTGTGAATGAACAAGCATACGGTAAAAAGCCCTGTTTCGCGACATTTCCTCTTGCAGTCAGCGCAATCGGCAGCTATGTTGCCCAGTGCCCAAATGCACTGTATGCGGAATTCTCCTGTACCAGATATGACGCCAGCTAGCAAGGCTTGGATTCCGTCCTGAAAGGGTTTACTAGAAAAACTCTGTCACCATCAGGGCTCGAACGATAGTAAACAAGGATGTGGTGGTGACTGCAACAAAAACACATGACACTTATAGCCTCAGTACATGGGTATCGGCTTGACCTCGTAGCCTAAGGCACATAGGAAACCGGGTAACGGAACTTCTCCCCGAATTGGGTCTGGGAACTTCTCCCTAAAGACGGCGTCACGCACGCCGTACCCGCCGCGTATCGCAGGATTGCGATGGCAGATTGGAGCGTGCAATTTCGGGAGACGGGCGTTAGGAACAATTTTGGGTAATCGATTCGCCGCACGCGGCTGTCGCGGACCACTCCTTCGCCGTTATTACAACTCTAGCATTCTTCATACAGCTTCATATGCGATCATTATTTTATGCATAATTCTACTATTAGTACTTTTGTTCTTGTATTTCTTACCTACTGCTGCATCCTGCTACATTCCTTCGCGCGCGACGCCCCTCTCACCGCGACGCGAACATTTCGTTCCTAACGCACCACACCCGACGCGTCGTATATGTGACGGGTAAAAGTTTACGTGTTAACACGTGCCGGATTATTAAAGAGCCGAGTGCCGGACTGAATTTTCGTTCCTGTCATGGATGACCGGTGAGGGCAGCTGTCCATATTGCGGAAGAATTATGAAACACCGCGAAACGTTATGAAACTCGTGAATAATTATAGTATCAATATCCCGCCAAGTCAATATCAGAGTATGGCAACTTTCTGGCCACTGAATACTTCTGGGATGTGTTCTCGCGTACTGACCTGCGTGTGAATTTACCAACGCCCATTTTCATGGCTTGTTTTACCTTTACCATTTTGTCAAACTCACCCGAAGTGCGGAGTGGAGGTCGCCGCTTGAGGAGCTGGCATCCTCGGCTCTAGAATAGCACTCATAACATTTCGGTTCACACTTCAAGGAAAGTGCCGCCGAAGACGTCTACCTATGGTATGGTGAACAAAGCTGCACCTACCGAGTTAGTAGACACCAGTTGTCGAATGATACCTACTACACTATTCAGTTCAGCTTAGTTATCAGAAAATTCTACACCAGCCAGCGATGATACAAACAGGATCAATGGCATGCGGAAAGCTCTGAAATTAAACAACGCTAGAAGTTTTGCATGAAATTTGTTTCCATTGAAATAGCGCGACGATGAAGGCTGAGTCCCAATCTGGCTAGTACCGATGCGTCGACGAGGCCCAGTATTGGATTGTCAGGATGCTGTTTGAATACATTTACCGGTGAAAATGTAGTTGGGGGGGGGGGCCACCTATCACAATGTCGGCATATCAAGAAATGAACTCAATGAAACGCGTTATGTCGTGTTATATCACGGACATGCCAGTTTTTAAATAAGGGCTCTCGTAGGGAGGAGCACCGCGGTGGGCAAGTTTTCTTTCTTTCTTTTTTTTTTTTTTT